ACGGGCGGCCCAGGTGAGGCTGGCACGGACGGAGGGGGCACGGGTCCTGGGGAGGGCGCGCCCGATCTGCGGCCTCTCGGGGCGGCTCTGCCCGGCCTCGGCGGGCACGTGCCTGCGGGGCCGGGGCGCCGCCCTCTCCTTCCCTCCTCTTCCCCAACTTGGGGAGGTCGGGTGGCCCGACCTGCTGCCGCTCCCCGACCGCCTTCTTTGTCCCTGGGGTCACCAGAGTTCTCCGTCTCACCCGGAACGTCCGGGCTTGCCGCCCATCTCGGGAACGCTCGTGCCCAAAGCCCGCCGCCCAACTTCTAGGGGTTCCTCGCTGCCCCCTTGGGTCGTCTTGGTCACCTTCACGCCCTGCATGGATTGCCCTTGCTGTCACTTCACCGACTTTACTCTGCGCACACACACAGTGTCTGCTCCCTGCAGTGACCCGGCACCAAGCTGGCCTTCTCTAACCTACTCAGCTCACGCCCCTTTGTCCTGCGCCAGCCCCTCCCCCTCCCCTTCACAGAGGGGCACGTGGGCTGGGATTGGATTAGAGGAACGAGCCAATCATTTGATTTGGAAGATAGTTTTCCTAAAAGTCTGAGTTGACTAAAAAAAACCAGCTGCCTTCCCCACCCATAGATCTTGCTTTTTCCAGGTGACGGTGATCCGCACCATCACTGGCTGGAAGGACCAGACCCTGAGACCCTTGCCCTTCCTGCTGCAACTGTCCTGACCCTCCCTTCCAGCTGCTGCTGTCTCCTGTGTCTGTCCAACAAGTGCGACCTGCACTGACCACTCCTGTGCCCCTAGATGGTCACCATGGGGCAATGCTACTACAATGAGACCATCGGCTTCTTCTACAACAATAGCGGCAAGGAGCTCAGCTCCCACTGGCGGCCCAAGGATGTGGTTGTGGTGGCTCTGGGGCTGACAGTAAGCGTATTAGTGCTGCTTACCAACCTGCTAGTCATCGCAGCCATTGCCTCCAACCGTCGCTTCCACCAGCCTATTTACTACCTGCTTGGCAACCTGGCGGCCGCTGACCTCTTTGCTGGTGTGGCCTACCTCTTCCTCATGTTCCACACTGGCCCACGCACGGCCCACCTTTCACTCAAGGGCTGGTTCCTAAGGCAGGGCCTACTGGACACGAGCCTCACGGCATCGGTGGCAACACTACTGGCCATCGCTGTGGAGCGGCACCGCAGTGTGATGGCCGTGCAGCTGCACAGCCGCCTGCCCCGTGGCCGCATCGTCATGCTCATTGTGGGCGTGTGGGTGGCTGCGCTGGGCCTGGGGCTGCTTCCCGCCCATTCCTGGCACTGCCTCTGTGCCCTGGACCGCTGCTCACGCATGGCACCTCTGCTCAGCCGTTCCTACCTGGCTGTCTGGGCCCTGTCCAGCCTCCTTGTCTTCCTGCTCATGGTGGCTGTCTACACCCGCATATTCTTCTACGTGAGGCGGCGGGTGCAGCGCATGGCAGAGCATGTCAGCTGCCACCCCCGCTACCGTGAAACTACACTCAGCCTGGTCAAGACCGTCGTCATCATCTTGGGTGAGTGGTGTTCCCAGCTGGCCCAGGGGCCACAGGGGACTCCCTCCCCTGACCCCAACAATGAACAAAACAAGTGATCTGATAAGAGAGTTTCAGGCAGAGGGAAAACAGTATGAGAACCCCAAGGCAGGACCACACCAGGGCCCTCCAAGAGGAGAGGAGGCCTGCACAGCAGGCCTGCCATGAGGAGAGAATGTCAGCCAAGGGCACAAGCAGCACTTGGGTTTAGTTCCGAGTTCCACAGGAAGACCTTCAGAGTTTTTGAGCAGAGAGTAGATTTGTCACTCTGACTGATGATGGCAAATGGACTGGGTGGGGGAGGCTGAAGGGATCCAGCCCCTCCCCTGAGGGTACACCCACCACCAAGAACAAGAAGCAACCCTTCCCCCCACTGAGTAACTGGCCTGTTCTATGGCGATCTTCTTCCCCCATGGAACAACTCTCCCACATTGGAAATTTCTAAGGCCACAGTCTGGTAGCACAATATCTAAGGTATTTGCTAACCAGGAGGTTGGTGGTTCAAATCCACCAGCCACTCCACAGAAGGAAGACTTGGTAATCTACTCATGAAGATTTACTGCCTCAAAAACACTATGCGAGTTGCTATGAGTCGGAATTGACTCGATGGCAGTGGGTTGGTGACTACCTTGGCGCCCTGGTAGCACAGTGGGTTAAGGAGTTGGTTGCTAACTGAAAGATGAGTGGTTCAAACCCAATAGCAGCTGCACAGTAGAAAGATATGGCAGTCTGCTTCTGTTGACATTTCAATCCTCTCCTGTAGTGGCATGTGAGTCAGAATCGAGTCAGTGGCAATGAGTTTGGTATGGCTACCTCCTTGTGCCAGTCAGGAAGACAAATCAGAGGGAAAAAAAAAAAAAAAACATTGCTGTGGAGTCGATTCCAATTCACAGTGATCCTGTAGGACAGAATAAAACTACTTTGTAGAGTTTCAAAGGCTGTAAATCTTTACAGAAGCAGATTGCCTCTTCTTTCTTCCACAGAGCTGCTGGTGGGTTTGAACTGCCATCCTTTCAGTTAGCAGCTGAGCTTTTAACCACTGTGCCACCAGGGCTCCTTAATGTAGAGAAAGGTCCCCCTCTAAGCCGTTTGCCCCTTCTGTAAGGCCAGCAGCTGCCGCCCAAGCTCTGGAGACCCCTCCAGCCCCAGGGTCAGAGCTGTAGGTGCTGGGCCTTCTCACACCCTGACCGCTCACCTGTGCTCCATCCCACAGGGGCATTTGTGGTCTGCTGGACACCAGGCCAGGTGGTGCTGCTCCTGGATGGTCTGGGCTGCAAGTCATGCAACGTCCTGGCTGTGGAGAAGTACTTCCTACTCTTGGCTGAAGCCAACTCACTGGTCAACGCTGTGGTCTACTCATGCCGCGATGCTGAGATGCGCCGCACCTTCCGCCGACTCCTCTGCTGTCTGTGTTTCCGCCAGTCCAGCCATGATTCCGACCGCTATCCATCCTCTGCCCAGACAGGTACCAGCACGCGCATCATGCTTCCCGAGAATGGCCACCCCCTGATGGACTCCACCCTTTAGCTGCCCTGGCTTCAGCAGGATGCAACAAGTGCCAGATCTGCAGCCCCTGTGGACTCAGGCAGCTATGGGACTCATCTGGCTCAATCCTGCCTGTGGGACAGACTCAAAGGCAAACCCACTGGCTGGTTTGGCACAGCATCACTGCCAACCTTCCCCAGGCATACAGACTGCCCCAGGGCATGGGAGCTTGGGATCATCTCTGAGCACCTGGGGGAAGAGTCAGATAGAGGCAGGAATCTGGCTCTTCACTCATCTCAGGTTTTGGGATTTTTTTAATGGACATTTTTCTACTTTTATAGCACATCCCTGGTGAGCCCTGTGGACTGGCTGGAGCTTCCTTGTATGTGATGGTTTGGATGTTAAGGGTTGGAGAGACAAGGGCTCTCTCAGGCCATCCTGCCCAGTGTGAAAGGGTAATAAGGACGGACCATGGACACACCATCTGCCTGAGGCTGATTCTGTAGGGGTGCAGGCCAGGGGGTACTGAGCACAGGCTGGGATAGGTGTGTGGCCCCTTGTGGCCTTGGGGTGCTTGCTTGAAGGGGTCCATGAGGAGGGCTTGATGCAAGGAGTAAACCCTTCCTTCCACTCTGAGGTCTCTAAAGCACTGTCTGCAACTCCATCTGCCTGTCTCTTGTGTCCCTGAATTGTCCATTGTGGTTCTGGGGCCCACAGGGATCTTTCAACATAGCATCTGCTTAGCCCTATTCTCATTCTTTGGTCTTTGACTGTTACTCTACCTCTTACTGGAGTCTATGTCTATTCCCTTTTGCCTCTGTTCCTATGTTTCCATCTCACCACTTGCCTGTCTGTCTCCTTCCTCTGGGAGAAGAGCTGAGGACTCTAGGGTGGTCTGTGGCATGTGTGAGTCCTCTCTCCTGCCTGCCTTTTAGCCCAGGTTGTTTAAAGGAGCCCTGATCATCCACTGCCCTCCCCATCACCTACATACATACTTGGGAGGCACAGGCAGTGGGCTCTGTGGAGCAGGATGCACAGTTTGAGGGTTATCATTTCATTTCTCAAGGTCCTCTGAGGTACCTGGCTCATGGTAAACACTTTACATGCACTATTTAATCATCCTACCTGCGTTTTGTGGCACAGGTATTACACTTATTTTCATGGGAAGACAGTGGTTTAAAGAGCTCGAGAGCTTGCTCATGGTCACACAACTTTGAAAGGGCACAGAGGTGCCTCAAGGGACTAAAGAGTCCCCTGGGGCAAAGGTTTAAGATTCCCCTCAGTCCCTGGAGTTGGTCACAAGCTCAGCCCCACAGTCCCCCAAAGCCTCAAGAAAGCCAGTCCTATGATAAGCCATGTCCAGATGCTGACAGAGTCAACTAACATTGACACTACCCTGCCAGGCACAGTGGACTGGGGTCTAGATGCTTATCTCCCACTTCACTGGTGATGTGACAGGGTTATGTCCTTACTTTGAGTTCACATCCTGAATATTAGTATTTGAACCCAAGTCTCTCATAAGAGATCAAATTCTTAACTCACTAACACACAAGCTGCTGAAGAACTAAAACATCTAGGTCCTTCTACATTAAATGAGTCTGGATTTATTTTTGCGGAAACTCCCCGTCCCAAGCCAGCTCTGTAAGGAGGCAAGAATAAACGGGGTGGTGGGCACTTCTGCAGAGCCCAAGGTGGTGCCATGGCTTCTAGGGCCAGATGCCTGAATCTCGAGAGATGACATCCAGGCCAATGTCTTCCACCTGTGAAATTCACAGTCCCTTCCTCCATGAAGCTCAGGGCCTGTTGGACAATTGTGTCACTTTGGGTGCCAAGGCAACCATCCAATTCCTATGGATGGGGGACCCCTGGTGGCCTCCAAAAGACAGTATTGTATCTTACCTCAGAAGGCTGCCCTTGCATCAATATCCTCTAGGTTCTAACCTGCATCCCTTGGGTCTCCTTTAGGATCTTGTCCTGTCACTTTTTCCCTCTCTCAGGTCTTTCTGCCAGGTGGTTTCAAGCTTTTGTCTCTGCTGGTCCCTGAAACTTTCACTTGTCCCTCCACCCCGACACTGTTCACCGAAGTTACCCACTGTATCTCAGGCCTCCTGCACTGTGTGTGACCTTTTATATAGGTCACTTGCTTTTCTGCTCTCCAAGTATCTTATTACTTCCTGTCGCTAGGGCCAAGAGTTGGGTTCTCTTCATCAGGAAACTTTCACTGTTTTTACACCCAACCCATGTCACTCATTTCCATTCCCTGCCATCCTCTTTGGAGTCTCTCCCTCCCCAGCCTAATCTAGTCACACCAGATGGTGCTTGAATTTCCTGTCCAGCAGCACTGGAGAGACATGGACTCTGCCCTGAAGGTATTCCCAGCAAGACCAAAGACCCTTGATGAGCCCTCATCCATTGCCCATCCTCAAAGCACATAGCTCCAGGAGGTTCCTTGATTTTGAGGAAGTGACTTGTGTCCAGCTTGTTCATTTTCTCACATAAGGTTCCTTCTCTGATGCCATGACACCTAACAGTAAGACCTGTGAAGATCTGCTCTGATTTGGGGTGCATGGATGGGTGGTGGTGGTGGTGTTATGTGTCGTCGAGTTGACCTGACTCACAGCAACTCCTGGATTTCTGAGGCGGTATCACTAAGGAAGTAGATTGCCCAACCACTTGTTACACGCAGGCTGGTGTCTTATAGGCCCAGAATGTAAGGTGAGTGGATAAATAAGTAAGGTAGCTCTTAAGCTGCATCTTGAAAGAAAGGTGAATAGATTTGACTTCTGCAGTTGAGAAAACCACACATTTCTCACCTCCCTGTTGCCTGCACACACATACTTGAACCCTGAGCCAGTAAAGGGGGCAAGGAAGCTCCAGGGGAGATGAGCCAGGGAGGCCAGGAGCCCCAGCA